ACAACGTTGCACAGTAAATCATACGCAATCGTTTGACTTTTGGGGTAAATATTAAAGTTAATAGTTTAACGTACGCAATCGTATTAACGTACGCAATCGTGTTCTCAAAAAGATACATCGTACGCAATCGTGTGGTACCCGGGGATTAGGTGTAACATTAACGCACTACAAAAAAAACAGTAGCATCCTGATCACTGAGCACAAGTACCTATACAATGAAAACGATTCTGAGCCGCGGAGACTGTGTGTCATCACTTATCAATCATATCATTATTCATTATATTAGTCAACATATTATTTTTCTAATGATACTTGTTAATAGTTTTTAGTTATTACTATTGACTATTATATTATGTTTAAATTATTATCAGTAACTTCTTTATTTTTTAATAAAACGGTTGGTTGAACTAATTTCTGCCTAAAAAAAAATCGCATACATTATATTTAAACTTCATACAACATTATTACTACCTGTTATTAACTACAGTAACAAAATAGGTATTATAAAGGTGTAGAAGGTGTCATACTTTGATTGGTATTCGGTTCATGAAATAATTAAAATAGTAAATACCTTAAAATTAATATAAATATTTTGAAAATTTCACCACGTAACTACAATAAATAACCAAATAATCAGAAAAAAAAGTTTCAAATTTTTATTTGCAATAAAAACTTAAGAGAAACACTGTTGGCAGGCCTTTTGACCACTAAACAAAATTGTATCAAATACACACCGAAAATAGTAAAAATTCAACAATTGAAAACACCTATAATAGCACAAAAGAGTCAAAATATATTTTTAAATATTTTTCATATCTAGTAAAATACTCATATGAATATTCAGTGAACATTTTAAGTCCCTACAGTTATTCATACTTGAGTTACGGCAAAAACTAGTTTAGTATAAATTTTCCAGGTTTCTTTGAAAAGTATGGAATTTTTTTTATGGACCAAAGTACTTACTACATTAATTTATACTGCTTCAAAAAGTGACGACAGACAGAAAAATAAAAACAAACATCATTGTAAAAATATATGTCTCTCAGCTCGGATTCTAATAATAAAATAAATTTTAATAATAATTATTACCACCTATATTCTAATAATAATAAATATGTAATGCAAACGAAAAATTACTTGAAAATTAAAGTGTTTAAATAATAAATTTTAACATCAATAGCTTATGTTGTTATATTATATTATATAATAACCAGTTAAATGTTCTAATAGTTACATTATGTTAATTCAAACAAGTAATAAACAAATGACTAACTTATTACCCATGTATAATATTAAATACGTAAAAGCGCGGTTGAATAATAGTGCCTGAAAATGCATTCTATAGGCAGCTAACTTCACTCATATAATAGTTGAGTAATTATCTTACAGATAGCGTTTGGTTATTCAATTGTATTTTAAAAATATATAATATAATATATTGTATAAAAAGAATTTGAATTTCTTGCTTCAGTTACCACAAGTGTTTAGTGGTGGTTGAAGAGGGGAAGGGGTGAGGGGTATATATTCCCCATGACCTTTTTTCAATGTTTTTGATCTAATAACCATACATATACTTTTAATAATCAAATAGTGCATGTTAAAAAATCAGTCATAACCTCCTTCGACAAAATCATCTGACTGCCACTGCATAAGTTACTAACTTGATATTGACCTTTAAATATTATAGTTAACTATAGTTAATTTTTATTATCATACTTAAAATCCATACTTATAGATAATAGGTTGTTTTAAATACATTTTTATTCCGTCTATTGATTTAGGCAGTTTGAGGTCCCAAATGTCCTATATGATAATGAAAATGGTTTGTTTTTCTAGTCATTTTGCATTAAAAATATGTTGAATTTTTAGGGTTTTACACTTGGGCGTATACCTGGGTCGTTCAACCTTTTGTAGTTGGTGGATTAATTTACATATTCATATAAACAGTGTGGGCCTCAAGGCTCAAATACATATAAATGTACAAACTAAATAAACAAAAAAATACATGATTATAATGTTATATAATATTTTAGGCTCTATGTCAGAAGTTCTCGACCTCATATGACCCAAATTAGGGCCTTGGAGGTATTCATAGTGGCCTGCAAATGCATATTTACATATTATTTCAGCAAGATTTTTAATGAATATTTAAAAAAAAAATTTTTCACAAAATAGGTAATTGAATACCCAGTTAACAAAAATCAACGATAAAAAAAATCGTTATGAATAATGTTATTAACAATTGGTAATTTTTTTTGTACATATTTTTATTATTTTATTCTTTAATTTAGTATTTAAGTGTTAATAATATGGCAGTTATGTTCGTAATTATTATTATTTTTTTGAGGGCCACAAGTAGTTGAATTTACAATTGTATGGTCCTAACCTGCCTATAGAAGGTTGGGATTTGGGAATCACTTTTTTAAATACCTATTACTCTATTAGGTAGTTTAACAAAAATATTGTTGTGAGATGCAATGGCTATAGATTCCTTAATAAATATAAAATATACCAATAAATAACAAAGTTTATACCAATACGTTTTGTTACTAATTATAAATTACATTAATACTTAAAAACCAATAATTATTACTAATAAGTAATAAGGCAGATTTTAAATTTTAGATTTTTTTTTTATTTAGTTTATATTAATAGGACCTAATGGTGCATGAATTATCCGTAAATTTAAGCGTATCGTACGTTCGTATCTTAAATTATCATCCCACATTTTACGAAAAATTCGAAAAAAAAATATTAAATTAAAAACCAATAAAGAACATGTTTTATTGTTTAATATTTGGTAGTTCAATTGTAATGCACTCATATTAAATAGACAATTTACCCTATACGAAGGTACCTTCGTCATCTTTAAATACTTGCCTAGTAAATTATGCGATTAACTGTTTTGATAGTTTTTAAGGGCTAACAATACATTATTTTTTTTATAAATCAGGTACTTTGATCATATATTATACACAAATAATAAACCTAATCGTTAATCAATAAAGGGATCTTTGATTTAGATCTTTAATGCATGGTACCTGTGGAATAATTAAAGTGTACCTGGAAGTTTTCAATATTTCATCAATGATCTGTACCTATACGAATAATAATATTCATTGTAGTTCCTGGTGTGGAGCGGCGTTTGGCTGCAGTCACTGATGTGTGCTGCAGTCGAGTATCATCTGGTATCGCAGGATCATGGATGGGGACCGCCTGGGTTCTTTGAGACGAATATCCTTACTCCCACACATAAATACAAGTTCGAACAGTAACCCTCCACGAGTCACAAACCCAACGACCCATTATGACGTAGCTGAGGGTAAAAAAAAAACTTTTACTTTCATAAAATTAAATTCAGTAATATATCTTTTGAATACACAACATACATACATAGGTATGAATTTTTTCTTATCCTTATAAGATTTTAAAGTATAGCTTCAAACTAATTTTAATGCATAATGTCATTATCTATTTATTGTATTACTATTTTAAATTTAAAAACAAAATAGCATATCATTGAGAAAATGATTGATGTATGAATTATATTTCTATTTATAACATATTTTTGCTTTAAGAACGTTGTTGACAATTTATTATATTATTCACGAAAAGAAAAATTAATAACAACAACTACACTTTTACACCTTCGTTGAATATAGAAAATAATTATTAGTACCTTTGATATTTTATAGGTTATATAATATTATACTAATTACTATTTTCTATATTCAACAAAGTTTTAAAAGTGTTGTTGTTATTAATTTTTCTTTTCATGAATAATATAATAATGTGACACATGTTATCGATAGTTCTTAAAGTTATAAAACTTAAGAAGTAGAAACCGGTCATTCAAATTTCGATTGATGTATTATGTACCAACACTTTAAAAAAAAGATTATCACCACATGCATCATCACAGGAGACTTCTTAAATTGCATAAAAATAATTGAGTATCAGCATAAATTATAATAATATAATAATAATATTTATTTTTGCAAATAAGAATACAATACATTAAAATTAAGACAATAGAAAAGTATGCAATACTCCCCATAAGCATAGCTTGTATTGGGAGAGTAGAGTTCAGATAATAATTTAATTATTTATGTTATTTTGTTAAAATTCCAGAAAGAATAAACAAAAATTAAGATCAAACAAGTTATAAAATGTTATATATGTTATGTATAAATGTTATATTGTTATATATGAGTTTAGATTTGGTTAAATAATATCAAAGTTAAGATTATACAAAAAAAAATTAAATTCTGTAACACTTAAAATTAAATAAATTAATATTCAATTTTTTACATAAATTTGATCCTACATTTAAAATACAATGAGAACCAAATGTTGTATTACAATAATAAGGAACAATATTATTATTATGTTTATATCTGGTATTATAATCATGTTTAACATTGTGTAATAGATGCTCATGTTTATATAATAGTAATAATATATTTGTATAAAATATTTTATCAAAGTTTTGTACACCTAGCTCATGAAAAATAAGCTTTGTACTATAAGATTTGGGTTTGCTCAATACAAATTTAATAATACTATTTATTGTGACCTTTAATTTATTTATCTAGGTGTGTGTTGGTGTTGTAAGTACAACCCCAAAACATTATCCCGTAACTAAAGATAGATTGAACTAAAGCAATGGAGATGATTCTCTTCATCTTAATATTAAAGCAGCTTTTAACGTCTTTAAAAATGTAGAAAAATTTACGTAAATTGGAGATTAAATTATTTACATTATGTATTTAAAAATCAGAATTTAAACTAATTAATTATTTAAGAAAAATTTGGGGTTAGGCATACTTGGGAAAATCACTGTGTACATAATATTTTATAACTGATAAGTTATTTACTTTTTTAATATATCGCCTATGTAGATAACCTATATAAAAAATTTAAAATTATTGAAGTTAAGTTAACTGTTTTAATATTATCATATAGGTGTCTTATTATTTTAAATTATTGTTTATACATAGATAAATATCTGCGATGAGAGTGGGCCGAAGATATTTTGAACTCATGGTTTCTGTGATCAATCCATCGTCGGATCTATACCATCACAGTCCTTTAGCACCTTTAGCATCATTCGACTCCCCCGGTTCTGGGATCGAATCGTCCAGTACGCAATCGGAAAAAAATTGTCCGTTCAAAGACTTCATATTAAACGATGTTTGTATTTATAACTAATACTGATAATAGCAATAAATATGTGTGTTTAATTAATCTGTTTTTATTTCTTTCTATAGAAATGGAGACGTATATTTGATCAAGTAAGTGTTGCGTGGGTGACTGATCGTGGACAAGATCCGTAATTTTAATGAAGTTTAAACTTTTCTTTTTCATAATTTATTGTTGCAGTACGATCCTGAAGGGTTTGGGGAAATTCCGTGGAACGATTTCTTGATGTTATTGAATTCGTCGGATTTCGTGAAATCCATATCTCAGGAGAAACGCGATATCCTCCTTGAACGAGCTCGGCAATCAAACACGTCTGCTATAACTTTTCAAGATTTCGTCAATATCGTAAGTCTTTTAAAACGCTTACACTCGATATAAGTATGTTGATTTAGTGTAAGATTATGTCGGAAACCAGTTGGTTATAATAATATGTATACCCAAACGGAACATTGTTGAAATAAATCGCTATTCATATAGGTGCATCTGAAACCATTGATTTCTCGGTATAGAGAGGACAACCGCGTTAATTGTTCGCACTCACTACGTGTTGTGGATTATGAAATAATAATAATTTGATACACCTCTATTAAAGGTTTAAACACGCATAATTTGGCGATTTAAAAACACATATTTTATAGCCCGCAGTGGCGTGAAAGAGTGGCGTGTCCGTCTGAGGTGCGGTGCAGAGCTATAGGCGAGTTTTCGATAAAAAACAAAACAAAACAAAACCGTGTGATGTCAGACGCCCGTTCAGGTCGTGCGCGACGACAAAGGCTTGTAGACTAACTATACATACCTATTATATTAGATACGCCGGTTATAATATATTATGTTTTTCATTAATTTTTAGAATATATACGCGTCCTCGTCGTATATATTATATCGTGTCAAGATGTTGTGACTTTATGACGTGTCCCACAGCCGCCACTCTGCCTACTACGCCGTTGCGTACCTATAATAATATATATATATATATATATAATAATAATAAATAATAATAATATAATATAGTACATTCAATTAGGAAGATCTCCTACCGCAGTGGCGGCGGAAACCCAACAACGATAATCACCACTGGTACCGCCTGCGTAATGAATGTGATTCGTCTGACCACCAAAGAGACCGCCGCCGCCACCGTGTCGTGTTTATAATAACCTCTGTGCGTCTGTGTCGGTGTGTATTTTATCGGTGTGTGAGCGTATATACTACAGATGTGTTGGCGTACAATATCATGTGAGAAACATCGGAGACGTTATAATAATATAATCGGCGGATACGTCCGATTTAGATTGTAATATTTTATATTATTATTAGGCGGCGGTAGGTTCGAACTGCAGTAGACAATAACGCGTATCCGACTTAAAACATTTTAAATACATATTATATATTATGTATAATGTGTTGTAATCGTTTCATTATTGGGCCACCGACACCCCAGCTCCTTTACGACCCTCCATCGCGTTTATGGAATTTTTATCGGGAATAAATACGCCGTCATATTGTATAATATATTACCTATGTATACGTGCGTACGGGATGTACATAAACGTGAGAAAATATTTCAAACGTCAAAACAGTTCTCGGAGATAAAAAAAAAACATATTTATTTTTACAATTCAATTATAAAATACTATAAGCTTGTATATAAGTGTGTATACTTTTTAATGCGATTTAAATTTACTTTTGATGACTCTGAGTCATAACATAAGTTGTGCAGTTTTGCAAATCTACGTATTATAATTTATTACTACTTAGGTATTTCAGTATATTTGATTCGTATAGGTATATAATATAGTATAGCTTAATGTTTAATGGTAAGAATAACTAATAAAATCGATATTTATTGAATGGCCACAGTAATTATTGTAGGTAATTGCAATATGTTTATTCATTATCGTAAATTCATTTTTCTTATTATACCAAAATATTAATATTTCAAACATAAATTTATTCTTTATTGAATCATATAGGTATACTGTATACTGACTGATAAACAATATTATTTTATGAAACGTAAACTATAAAAAGGGAAAATGTAGGAATCCGCTCTCCTGTACAATATAATTAGGTATCAAGAGAACCTCGTCAATCGTCATTAAGGATAGTAAGTCACTGTAATAGTTGCGTTAAATTTGAATTCAACGATACATTTATTTAATTAATTGATAAACAATATCAAATGATAAAAAAATAATGTTCTACTCAGAATCCGAAATTATAATTTATAAAGTTTAATCCTATATCACTAATTTTTTTGAGCTTAAGCAAAAATACCTATCATACATACACGAGTGCGTGTTTTCAGAATACTTTGTAGAAGTTGTCACACAATTATCATCTGTATATTATATTATATTGTTATGAATCTATAATAATATATAATATATATTCTCCAATCTCAACGAATGTTTAATTTGATAGAGATCTCTGAATTCATATTTTATTTTGTACATTTAATTAACGCAGTATTATAATCTATAGATACCTACTAGATAGTAGATACTAGATACCCATAAATTATTTTCGTTCGCTAACAAATAAACAGGTCATTGTTTTATATTCAATTTTTATTATTAGTTTTATGAAAAACTCCTACGATTAATTATTGTTCTACCGACTCTTGACTTCATACTGGTTGTTAAAATTAAAACACACAACATTGTCCCTTTTCAATAATAAAAGAAGTTACAAAATAAAATTATTTTGTGTGTAATATTATATCATGGAGAGTAAAATGTTTACTATAGAGATTTAGAAACGCCTACGAAATGTGATTAAAATAGGTATATTAAACATTTTTATGACTAATTATTTATTTTTATTTTTAATGAATATCAGAAATATTTTAATGTTTATTTAGTTCTCTGCGGATTGCGTATGTTTACTTTTATACTTGTAACTTGTTTATTTTGATTGAATTATGCTTGTTATTTATTTTATTAAAACTTAAGTGAAAACGTACCTATTAATATAATAATACCTATTGTTATAGTTTTTCATAAATAATCGTACATATTGTGTTGTGTCAACGGTGCATTAACATTTCCAAATACTTTTACTAATTAAAACGTAAAAGAGTAAAATCCGATAATTTTCTAATTCACAATAAAATCTTATACCAATTATTAGGCAAGCATCATTCATTATTAAACATTAAACATTAATATTAATTTTTTTAATTTAATATTATTAATCATAATTTTGATGAATAAATGTTATTGGTAAATGTTTTAATATTATTTTTTTTTTTTTCTGTAGTATACACCGTGTGAATATGCGGGATTTTAGATTATTATATTATTCAAAATAAAGTACAATTAAGTCAGACTTTATACATGTATCATAATGTATGACGATAAATAATGTTCATTGTGTAAGAAGCATTACAGGTAGTAACTAATGGGTTTTAGTGTCAAATTTGACAGGAGTCTCTAAAAAAAACTATATTTTAACATCTTACTTCATTTTTAGAGTTTCTTTTAAAATAATATAGAACTTGTATTTTTCTTTTTATTTCGACGTTAAATCATAAACACTTAATTGTTAAATATAATGATACACCTATAATTGTTGAGTACAATTTGAACGTATGGCAAACAATAGTATACCTAGTATAAGTTTTTGTATTATATGCAGTTATTGATTATCATAATTTACTTTCGTATTTTATTTTAGATTGAGTATTTTATAAATTTATAAATTAAAATAATTTAATCTTAGTTTGTTGTGATTGTTGATTTTAAATATATGCATCATTTTATTGTTCTGTATGTAGGTATGACGGATCATATAAAGTTATTGTTCATAAATTGTTGCCATAAGCCATAGTCATTTAAGTCATTATACCATATCAACTATGCGTATTATATTAATATAATGTTTTATCCATTCCATTTTGATTTCAGAGTATTAAACTATTTAAACATATAATTTATTGCTCCTCTCCTCGTACCGCGTCAAAACGATGTCTGCGATTTAAAACTAAAAGCGTTCACAGCTTCACGGTTATTTTCCCAAACGATATTTATAGATCATTCGATACGGTTAACGAAAAAAAAAAGTAATAGACATTTATCGGTCCTTGTCGAAAAGCACCCACGTAACCTTGTCGGTATCACCAGTGCGGTGTAAACACTGACATTAATTTATACTCAAAGGTCAACCTTAATTTTCGCCCCTGTAGTCCGGCGCACGCATACGCACGCGCGTGTGTGTGCGTGTATTTTTTGTGCTCGTTTGATTTACGATCCTTCTACCTGCTGTCCAAACCAGATAAAAAGTCGGTGGGCACGTGAGAAGAAGAAAAAGTAACACAACAGTTAAAAAAAACATTACGTTGGGATATTAAAACGTCGAATTTAATTTCCATACACCCGTCGTAGCGCCCAATAATATTCTTCTTCTCTTATCTGACAGAAAATATCGCGTTTATATTATAAAATATGGCTTTAAACCGACCAAAACGATCTACCGGTGGCGGTAAGCAAGTGTTTATTTTATTGACCGCCACTTAACGGGACCCGACCTGGTCGCTCTCTGCACCCACTTAAGAAGATGAGTTCCATTCGATGTGCGGCGACGGAGGCGTCTGCCGGCTATAATATAATACACACACGTTGTATATTATTGTCGAATTAATTAACTTGAATGCTGTGTGTGTGTGTGTGTGTGTGTGTGTGTGTGTGTGTGTGTGTGTGTGTTCTTCTTAAACGTTTGATCAATCGACAGTGATACGCATATTATTTTATATTATATAATGTATTGTATACGAGTGCCACCATCACACCGTGTTCTCGTGTTCTCGTAAATACAGCTGATAGGTGCTACGGAATACGAAGTAAACAATAATAGTTGTAAACTTATAACTTATAAGTATTTACAGCGAAAACTTTGCTCATACGAACAATGTCTTATTCTCGACGAGAAATTAAAAATACATTGATATCATTGATAAAATATAATACTAATAGCTACTACATTACGGTATATTAATTGATGGTAGTATGTAGGTACATATTCACGATAATGTGAAAAGTATTATTATTTTTACTGGTATATATACGAAAGTTATAATTCCTAGTAGGTACAAGGTGCAAACCTTCTTTTGTTTTGTCATATTTTAATAAACCAATTAATCTTAGTAGGTATACAATTATTTATATTCGTAAAAAAACTTCCTCCTTTATTATGATAATAGATATTAGTAAATTTATTAATTTTAATTAGTTATTTTTCAAGATAAACATTTTACAATAGAGTTTCTAATTAATTACTAAATTACTTAAGTTATATGAACCATAAGATGAGAATTAGTTAGAACTTCCAAACATAATTGAAAGACGTAA